ATTAGAAATTGAGAAACATGAGTTGAAACGTGAAAAAGCTGCGGAAAGAGAAAGAGAGCAGAGAAAGTACTGGAAATGAAAATGTGATGAAGAAATCGCTCAACAAAATGAGAAGAAGAGACAAAATGAAAATCATGCCCAGCGAGAGAGAGCTTATCGTGAGAGGAATCGAGATAATGGAAGCTTGGTAAAAAGAAAAAAAAATTATCGTATGCGGAAAAATTATTGTTTCAATGACAATAATACTAAAATTAATGACGGAGTTGCTGAAAATTATCTTGGGCCAATGGATGTGTTCTGTCGAAACTGTAAGGTGAAACATTTCGCAGGAAAACGTGTATCCACTAAAGGAAAAGATTCATTCAATGATTGTTGCAGTTATGGTGAAGTCGTCGCAATTAACTTCGAAGATTATCCATCGGAATTACGAGAGTTATTCGATATTGAAAATATTAATTCCATCAATTTCTTTAAAAATATTCGAAGCTATAATAATGCTTCATCTTTCGCTTCATTCAATGCCAATTTAACCAATTTTGAAGGAAGGAGACCAGGACCTTATGGTTTCATGGTTGAAGGACAAATTTATTACCAAATGAATACATCAGTATATCCAGAGAGGGACGACGGAGTGCCTAGCTATGGGCAGTTATTCATGATTGATGCGTATGAAGCAAATCGTTGTCGAATGTCTGCATTCGATAACTTGGATATTTCCATTCTGAATATAATTGACAGTGTTTTACGGAGAGATAACAAATTTGTAGAAAGCTATTATATGAGAAAAGTGATTGAGATCGCAGAAGAGAAATCCATACAATCCGGACATCCTATGCCTGAAATAAAGATGGTTTTCAATAACAAAAAGAAAGATATAGATAAACATAGGTACAATCCCCAGAGAACGAATGAAGTGGCTGCGATATTTTAAACTACGGCGGATGGGGAAATTCCTGAATCTTACGTCACAATGGTGACCCGCGAAAATAAAGAATTAGAATTTATTAGTTCCATGCATATATATGTTGAACCTTGGATTTATCCCTTATTTTATCCATCAGGATTAGGTGGATATGATAGCGAAGATAAACGTGTGAGCAGTAATAAAAGAATCTCACGGTCAGCCTACGTAAAAAATTTAATTGCAATCAGAAATGGTTTCAATCCCATTCTAAATGGTCGAAAACTATTCCAACAGTGGATAGTCGACAATTATGTCAAAGTAGAACGAGATCGTACAACTTTTATCAGGAATAATCAAAAGCAACTTAGATGTGAAACGTATCAGGGCCTCATAGATTACCTGGAGAAGAAAGGAGAGGAAAATGACATGAGAGTAGGAAAGATTGTTATATTACCATCAACTTTCATTGGTTCACCTAGGAATATGGCACAAAACTATCAAGACGCCATGGCGATAGTAAGGAAATATGGAAAACCTGATTTATTCATCACTATGACCTGTAATCCTAGGTGGCGAGAAATTTTGGAAAATCTTGATTCAGGACAACAGCCATGTGATCGACCTGATATAGTTGCGCGAGTTTTCGAATTGAAAAAAGATTATCTGATAGAGCTGATCATAACTGAGGCAATATTTGGAGCACTTTTAGCTTGGGTTTACGTGATAGAATTTCAGAAACGTGGACTACCTCATCTTCATATGTTGGTTAATTTGCAGAGAGATTATAAATTAACTCGTCCATGCATTGTGGATAAATTCATTTGAGCAGAAATACCCGACAAGGATGAACAACCAGATTTGTATCATATAGTCATGCGAAATATGATTTATGGGCCTTGTGGTGATTGGTGTTTGATTAATAATAGATGTTCCAAACATTTCCCAAAAGAATTTCAGGATGAGACCACAATGGATGATGGGGTATCCCTGCTATCGTAGAAGAGATACAGAAAAATATCATCAAAAACAAGGTGGTTACGTAGTAGATAACAGGTGTGTTGTACCTTATAGTCGAGAAATATTATTAAAATTGAACTGTCATTGCAATGTAGAAGTTGTATCGAATATTAGAGCTGTCAAATATTTTTATAAATACATCCACAAATCTCATGATGCTGCTGACGTTGTAATTGAAGCTAATTGTGTGGAAAATACAATCGAACATGATGAAATTAAGCAGCATATTGATAGTCGTTATGTAGGCCCGGTTGAAGCAGCTTGGCGTTTATTAGGGAAGAAATTACATGATAAAAATCATTCGGTCATTCGTTTACCTGTACATCTTCCAAATCAACAAAATATAACCATTAATCCTGGCGGAGAAGAATGTGACGTAGAGCAAGTGTTAGAACAAAAAAATAAGTTACTAGATTATTTTGCATTGAATGCTAGAGATGAAAATGCTCGACGTTATTTATACATTGATATTCCCACATATTATACATTCAACAAGAAGAAATTCAACAATAAATTTATTGGCTGGCAGAGGAGAAAATCAAACTTTAACGTTATTGGAAGAATGTATTCTATAAATCCATCACAAGTCGAATTATTTCATTTGCGCTTATTATTATGTAATGTTAAAGGAGCTGAAAGTTTCGATGATTTACGGACTGTGAATGGTAAATTATGTTCGACTTTCACTGAAGCATGTCAAGAAAGAGGATTGATACAAGATGATCACGAATGGACTAGAGCAATGGGGGGGGGGGGGGGGGGG